TTTTTTTTTTTTTTTTGCGGCAGAATGCGATGCACTGCTTTTGGCTCCTCCAGTATCGGACGCTTTTCTCCGATGCACCTAATTTCCGTTGTGCCACGAGGTTGCCGTGCGCTTTGACACACTCTATACCCTTTTGTTAAAGCCTATCGTAAACTGCTGTCAGAGTACCACTCATTTCTGAAGGAAATAGAAAAAAGAAAACAGCAGACTGACAGCACATAACCAAGGCAAAATGGCGTTGCTAAGGCCTACACTGTAGGCCTTATGTAGCCTTGCCCAACGGGGCTGCAGCTGATGCTCACGATGGCAATGGAGGCTTTCGGCTTCAAATGCCCATTGTTGTGAGACTTTCACATTCTTTTCTGCCAATGATCCCTATATAAGACAAGAGTGGACTTCTCACTGCGGTTTTTTTTTCTCAAAAAATTCTACCTATATTCCCATTTTTAAGGCAGTTGTAACATCCTCTGTACTTGCTAACATTCCCCTAAACGAGCCCTTCAAGTTTGTTCAAATTTTGTGACGTGGGTTATTGCATGTAAGATATCTCTTCTAATCAATGTTCTTTTTTGTCAAGACTTGAGACCTAAGTTTCTGCTAAATTTTAACGGGATAGCGTTAAAGAGCTCATTTAGCAGTATTTCCGCCATCTGTATTGGTGTAAGCTCGGGCGTCGTTGGTGGTGAGTGAAAAATCATCTTGTTTATGACTGAAAAAAATGAGAAAGATATGATGAAAATGAATTATGAAAGCTTTCGGGTCTGAGTGAGGATCGAACCCAGGTCGTTTGCCCGGCAAGCAGGTGTTCTACCATTGCTTAGAAGTGCAGTGAAAATAACTTTGATGCTTTACAAACATGCATGTCCTGTATACAGGCTTCACTATGCAACATCTAATATCGCAGTAATAGTGCATTCTACAAACGATAGGGGAAGAGAGCATGCGATTTCCAGAACGACTTTGTGATTTAAAGCTAGCCACCCACGGCAAAAGGCATACACGTTACTGCACATATTTTCTTGAGACAGCGTAGTGGGTACATAGCAAGTTCGAAAATATTTGACGCATATTAAACCATGCAACTTATTACACAGAATGCAGTTAAATGTGAAAGCTTCACTGACACAAGCCACTTTCAACTTTATCGATTACATTGTAGTAATACACAATTTAAACTTCTTGAGTAACATCATACAACAAAAAGCGTGCACTAAGTATTTGAAGTACGCACTGTAGGCACAGGATATCGCTATTGCGTTCAACTCTTAAAGGCAAAGTTGAAGTATCCCCATTTTTTTGTTGTAATGGCTTTACACACAAGACAATTATCAATAGAACTTTTTATGCCAGCACATCGAAACATACTTTTTTTTTCTTGCTATTGCACTGCATTACTAAAATAAAACCACTGACAAATGGTTAGTTATTGAAGTTCCCGTCTTCAAGCACAAATTTCTGTAGACACAGGTTTCGAGTAGCAGCAAATTTAGGTCTTTTTTACGGATGTTGCACTGCACATTCAATTTCCGAGGAAGTAGCTTGGTAGTACAGTAATACCTCGTTAACTTGAACTCACATATCTTGACAAGTCGGCTGTGTCAAAATTTTCCGCAGCACCGAACATTTTCCCATTTGTCCCACGTATATTTTTTCCTTTATCTCGGAGTATTTTTGGATTGGATTGTGGATAACTTGAAATCTTGACTGGGAGTGGAATAAAACTTTTGATTCCAGACCATTTCACAAGACTACGATGGTACTGTGACGCCTGAAGTCTGTTGATTTTTTTTTTCTTATTTAGCTGTGCCTGCTACTATGTCGATGCTTTCTACAAACGCGAAGTGCGCGAAGTCACAGCCCAGCAACATATCAACCTTGTTAAGCAACCCTATGGCATGTCATGTGACACATGCGCTGAGCAGAGAGGCCCTCCAAGGTCTATTCAAATAGGCCATGAAAGTTCGTGCAAAAAGCGATTCAGAAGATATTGCCAGCAATATCAGCATAGGGAGTTATGGGAGCTGTGATTGAAGCGTGACTATGTGTGAAGGGAATAAACAGTAATAGTGAAAAACAAAGTTTGATTGAAAGTCGAAGCAATCACTATGTTTTATAAATGACATTTCTTTCCCGCAGCAATATTATGTAGGTGTAATGAACAAAGAATTTATGACAGTTTTTTTATTATTACAAAAAATATTTTTTCTGGCGCCCTCTACCCATTCTAATTAATTACTCAGTACAGCCCTTGCACTGCATGAAAAGGCACGCTCGTAAAATTTGTCTGCGATGACACACCCCCTCACATGTTTTAGTGTTCCACACTTGCTTGCATTCTCTGCTGCGCACGAAATTGTGAGGTGCATTTTATCGTTAATGAATGTCATGAGTGCAGTGTGCAAGGAGGAGCAGAACGATGCGTCTTACATTTAATGCAGAGTGCTTTCGTCGGTAACTCCGGAAACGATGTGCCGTTCAAGGACGCAGTAGCAACGAACGTACGCCTGGTGACTCATGTTTTCTAAATAAGAAACAAGGGCAATGGTTTGGAATACAATGCTCGCTGGACTATCAATCAGTATTCCTGCAGCCCGGTTTCCTTCTCGAGCATGCAGTGCCTACTATTATTTGCATTGTCGTTGAGCAGATCGCACAGTTATCTATCACGCTACAATTTGAATGTCTGCATTCACATGCGTAGCGGTAATTTATTGGAGCATAATGCGAAAACGCATAACGCAAGTAGTGTCCACAGAGTTTTTTGTGCTTATTACTATTGTGTGCAGTGTAATAAATTTGACTTGTTGTGACCATTGAATAAAACTGTAAAGTCATAATTATGCATGACTAGGCATCATTTCTTCCCATTAAAACTGAAACACACAAGCATTGTGCATGCTAAAGAACCTGCGTAAAGCAAATCAGCAACACTGTAGATAATACAGGTATACTCTGTTGGTTGCTTTAATCCATCTGCAGAAGATGCCACCAGCGCGGAATAAAAGTTCGAAGAATAAGTTTGCTTGTAGAACCAAGGCGAAGTGAACGGTAGTACAGCTAATCCTTTTTAATGCCTGAATTATGAAACTGCCGAGCAAAATAGAAATTGTTTTCATTGTCCAGCTTTAAAGAGCACCCTTTAAATGATGTCGCGGTTAAATTATCTAAAATGCAACTTTAATGCATACTTTTGTGTAGGTCGCGAATTGTCCATATGCCATACAAGCTAGGACCTTAGAACAAAAAACACGCTTCAGAACTACGCAACATGTTGTGTGCCACCTCTTGAGTGTGCACACACCAAATAAACAAAATTATTGAAGATAGAACTTATGGTACCAAGACGAGAAAAAACGAAGTGAGAGCTGTGGCACGCGCTTTGCCCTTTTCGCCATCAGCTCTAAAACAATCGGTTCTAGCCTAAAATACCTTAGACGAGACAGCGCTAAATTTTTCATGCTGAAAGCTACATGCCTTGTGAGTACTTTACAGCCAGCAATAAAGCTGGAATGCATTTCGTGACTTACTTGCTCAATGTTTTTCGGTATGTCGCAACATCTGGTAGCAAAGGATTAAACATCGTTAGCTAATCATGAGTCGGTATTAGATTAGCTAGCGTGGACTTGAAGCGCACTCGTGGAGGATTCGCCGGTGATCGCCTTAACGTAAGTCTTTAGCGATCAGGGGCCTACGAAAAGTAATTTGTGATCAAGTTTCATGCCAGTGCACACAAAAGGACCTCACTTGCTTACCAGCTATTGTGTCACATCCGTTTTATTGTTTTGTTCTGCTGCAAGTGTTCCCTCCTCTCAGAGATGGTGCAAAGCCCCATGATCAGCTGATCAGCCGCCATTTTCTGAACATATGGGCTTTTACGGAGCCTTCACTACCAGTTGTATCTAGCTTGGACCCTCTGCCCACGCTTGGCGTAGTTTGTCTCGTTCACTTTGTCCAATCTGCATGATTTTCCTTGGGGTGTGATTTCCGTTAATCCGTGCAAACCACGTGGTATGGATTTTTGGCTGACTGTGAGTGCAGTGCTCTTGATTTTCCTAAGGTGTGATTTCCGTTCATCTGCGCAAAGCGAGTGGTGCGGATTTTTCGCTGACTGTGAGGAGCGGCAACTTAGCTCGAGTGCGGCAAGCATGGGGTCAAAGCAGTGCAAGTCGGTAACGCTCGAGAAAAAGGTTGCCTTAGTTATAGAAGTAGAGAAAGGAGGCTGAACGAAATCGAGGATCGTGCAGAAATCGGCATCCCTTTGTCTATGCTTTCAACGGTGCTGAAAAACAAGCAGAAGGTGCCGGATAGATTTCATCAGAGCTCCAATCAGCGGAAGCGGGTTCGAGGGATGAAGTTGCCAAACGCAGCAAATGTCGGCAAAAGGTGCCGACATCTTCTAAGACAAGAAATTCGCCGCGCTTGCTTCGCAATAAGGTTGAGTGCTACGGCAGGGAAGATCGACTGATGCGATGCGTCAAACAGCTGGAGGATGCCTTTCTAGGCCTGAGTACGACCTCAAAGCAGACGAGCAATAGGCAGTTTTTCTGTGCTAAATTAAATGACAGTGTAGCAAAACCCAGCCAGCTAAAGTTTCTTGTGTGTGTGTTTTTTTTAATCTTAAACCTGTACAAAAAGAAAGATTAGAAACTGCTGCTGTAGAGCTGGTAAGTAGAAGAGATTTTTCTGAAAGCGCTCATCTTTTCTGGCGATTAGCACAACTTTGCTTATCTCGAAAATTCATTTATCTGGAAATTTTTCCTGGTTTTTATGACTTCGAGTTAACAAGTTATTAGCGTATTCATTTTGATCGTTCTCATTTTGGCCAACTCAGTGTAGCATTTTTTGTGAGTTTATGCATAAGCATGTTGGTAAAATGTTGTTAGGCTTTTTTTCTTAGCACGCTGGTGGCAATTGTAGATCCCTGAAGCTAGGAAGCTTGAGAATGCCTGGTTTAGGGTAAGCTCTAAGCATTTTATTGAACACTGTGTCATCTTCTGCAGATTTCTGCATGGCTGCGGTACTGGGTGGAGCTGCGAGGAAACTCCTTAGTCTTCTACTCTCCCAAGTCACTACTTGCCAAAGAACGTTCTGATGTGAGTGATGTTATCACACAAAGTTTGTAGAGCAGGCCACATGCACTATGTACAGGTACAGTGGCTGGAATAGAAATGTGTGAACGCGCCGGCTAGCGTGTAGCGCCTTGAGAGGAAACAGCCAGGTGGCGCTGGCACATGTTTGCACGTCACCCAAGGCAGCGACGCGCTGCGCAGAAACGTAAATCAGTCACGCGTGTGGGCAATGTGAAACATTTAAAATATATTTTGTTGCTGGTGCAGGGCCTCATATTGCGACCGGGAAAATATGTTAATTAGATTCTGGAATAACAGGATGCCTACGCGGATGCGCGACTGAACTGAAATATTGACAGGGTACTGAAAGTGAGCGCATGACGGCTCTGAAACATTTTATCGATGTGAAGTGGTAGAAGAGCAGAGCGATGAACTCAGTTGCGAGCCATTGCTTGTAACACTTTCCACGGCGAACCATCATTTCCTCAAGCACTAATCTGTAAATGAACCCCCATAATTCGTAACGTCAAACTCAGAGACGAGAATCACGAGTGGTATCTGGATGAAAATATTTTATTTTCTGCACACATGTCATAGAACACATTTCCAAGTAGTGACTCACTATCCATTTACAACAATGCATTCTTCATATTTGGTCGCCCGTATTTTTGCCTTGGTATAAAAATGTAAATGGGTGAGCAGAAAAAACTTGGTCACTTGATTGGTAAGGCTTGGATCATGCTGTGCGCAGCCCAATGTGACATATATATTTTTTTTTCAAGCAAGAAACAAGCTCTTCCAAGCTGTCACGGTGAAGCTCATTGTAGAATAACCACTTTGAAAGATTTCAAGGGCCCCTACGAATGCGAAGAGCTTCTCTGAAAGGCTTATCCATAGGCGTCCGTACGAGGTGGGCAAATGGGGCGGATGCCCCCCCTAGTCACTTGGAAAGGGGGCGCTAAATCTGCTCTAATACATTGACTAGGCAGCGGGGCACTCTTTTAGTCACCTAAAAGGGGGGCGCGAAATTTGCCTCGTATATTGATTTCATAGGAAGGGAGTGCAATGAACTTTTGCCCCCCCCCCCCCCCCCCCCCCCCCTGAACGGGAATCCTGCGCACACCTGTCCCTTTCAATACGGACAACGAACAATTTCACCATTCACCGTATGCTCGAAGTGCCGTACCTCTCGCGGATGTGCAGCTCGCACACAGCCAAATTTTCATACAGTAGCTTGCCAGCGCGCGGCATATCGCTCTTCGCCACTGTGCTAACAGAGGTTTGTCCTTTGTAACACCGAACAATGCATGCTTCTTTTTAGCGGACTTGTAGCCTGTTGTGCACCCTGATACGAAGAAATTACTTTGTTTTCGTGCCATGAGAGTGCATACAGAAGCATTAATGTCAAAGTGCCACCGCTACGAAAAAAAAAAAGAGAGAGGGGACGAACGCGGCCGACGAAACTGTCTGAAGCGTGCAAACAACGTATGGATGGATGGATGGATGGATGGATATGGCTATACCCTTTAGATCGGGTGGTGGCTAGCGCCACCAAGCTGCAATACTTAATGAACCAATAACTAGATTTATTTATTATTTCTTTAGATACAGATGTTGAGGATTCGTATTTGGCAGTGAAGGTTTTAATTTTCACTTGTGCCTTGACTTTACCCACCAATCAGATAACCTCCTTCTAGTTAATTCTACCCACTTAAAGTCTATTTTTCCCTTCCTGTCTCTAAACCCCAGTGCTTTGAAAAACTCTGCGCCATCATCCTGAACTATAGGGTGAAGCCCTTTACAGAACATTATCAAGTGTTGGGCAGTTTCCTCTTCCTCTCCACACGCACTGCATCCCGTGTCTACCCCTTCGTATTTGGCCCGATATGTCTTGGTTTGCAATACTCCCGTCCTCGCCTCAAACAGTAGAGAACTACCCCGAGTATTATCATAGATTCTTTCCTTGGCAATTTCCTGCTTAAACGTTCGATAGATCTCTAGTGCGGACTTCTTAATCATGCCAATTCTCCACATATCAGTCTCAGCTTCCTTCACCTTCTTCTTAACCGATAATTCTTTTTGGTTTGGCCCCCTGCTGTCTTCTAAGTATTTACTAGTCAATTTTCTGGTTCGCTTCCTCCATTTTGTATCAACATTCTTCATGTGCAAGTAGCTGAATACCTTCCTAGCCCAACGCTCCTCCCCCATTTCTCTCAATCGCTTCTCAAATTTTATCTTGCTGATAGCTCCCCTGCCCTCAAACGATGTCCAACCCATATCATCTTGTACTCCCTGATTTGGTGTATTCCCGTGAGCTCCTAAGGCAAGCCTACCTATTCCACGTTGCTTAATTTCTAATCTTGCTTGAACTTTTGATCTCATGCACAACACCGCATTGCCAAACGTCAGACCAGGAACCATGATCCCTTTCCATATTCCTCTCACAACATCATACCTATTGTAATTCCACAGTGTAACGACTGTATGCGCCCCCACGCGGCTCCTCCTCAGAGACTTCAGTGCGCTCCGTAGGCGCTGTTTGCCTCTCATCACACTTCTCTATTCTAGCCACTGTAGTACAGAAGAATTTGCTAGCCCCTGTTGCCATGGTAGATAAAAATTTCTGTGCGTACACTTTCAAGGTTCAATATATAGTGATATCAAGACTGGCATTTTGCCTTGGTTTTCTATTGAACTCTTGTGATGTGCAGCAGTGGTTTAACTGTGCCTGTTGAATTATTTTGCTGTAATCCCATCTCCCTGTGCCTTGCTGCACACATTTGAGTGCAGCTTTCACCAACTATGCTAAAGTTCACCATTCCAGCTCTTTACATGGCAATGGAATATTTCTGGTCAGAATACAGTGAACTCTCATTTGAGTGAACTCCATGGGACCTAAGGAAGTAGTTCACATAACTGAAAGTTCTCTAAACTGAATATTCACTGGAATATGGAACAGCATTGGGGACAGTAGAAAAACAATGAAACGTGTGAGACGTAGTTTATTTTGAAAACAATGCTGCAATCGTCATTGCACTGGTGCCCTTGAAGCGCCATATGAGACAAAGCTGTCCTGAGAGCCTAGATTTTTGTGCACTGCCCCTGGCACAGCTTATTGCTGTAACATGAAGTCTTGCAACATTCTTATATATCCTACAGTCTCAGCTAGACATACAGGATTTGAACCTGCCTCAGTCATTACAACTTGCTTTTCGTGCTCTTCTTTTTTTGGTTTCGGACGAACACTCAAAACAATTTCTGTATCTTACTACTAGGTGCAGGCACTGAACCACATGTGGCTCATTTTCGTCTCCCACATGGCTGCTTCCCCTCAGTGATGCTGTGTGCACAAGCGATGTTGCAATACCAATGATGTACGGGCAATTGAGGAGTGGCACGCATCGCCTAGGCCAGTGCTAAAAGGGGCAAAACATTATCGAATTGAACTAAAAAATGAGCCCGCATCTGCAGACCAAGTTCATTCCACTGAAATATTCACTGTTCAGAAGGTCAACTGAAATATTTTTTCTGTAGAATTTATAGGAAAACTGTAGGCGATTTTTTTTAAAGTTTGGTATTCTGAAATATTCGTTAAACTGGGGAATGTTTGTTCAAGTGAGAGTTCACTGTATATTCATAGCCTGGTACCGAAGGCACCGTGAGCTTTTCTGTAATGCTGCATACTCAGTCCATTTCATTCTATTTTATTCATTCTAGCAACGTGCTTTTTATCATCATACTCAGGCTAAGCAAAGTCTCTGTGCCACCACGTGCACCTCTGTTGTTGAAAGTTTAGCATGATGTCAATAGTCTCTCTTGTTACGTAACTATCAATGAAATGAAGACGTTTTCTTTTTCTTTTCTTACTTTTTGTCTCGCAAGTCACTGTTCATATTGTGTCATGGCCAAACTGGAAAATCTTGCTCATCTGCATGCTGTAAACAACAACTTCACGCAAACGAAGATAGGGCATGCAAGTGTTTGATATTTCACATGAAATAAAGATGCCTATTGGAACGCTAAGCCTAATTGTCTGCATAGAGCGCATCTGGAGGTGCAGAGTGGTGTGGCTGCTCCTCGCACACATTGGAGCGCTCGTTGTGCATTTTGATTGTGAAACCAACATAATGTGGTGGCAAACAAGGACACACAAAAACTCAGCTGCACCATCAGCCTCAAATAAAGCACAAGTGCCCTCATGTGTCCTAAAGCAAGTCGCTCTTGGCTTGAGAATATTCCCAACTTATCCCCTCCCACTTGTTACAAACCACACTTGCAGACGTGCTCAGCAAGGCCTCCATTTGTTTGCAAATAACACAGTGATGAGCTTTGAACACTGCTGTGAACTGGATTTCTCTCTGCTCAGACTGACTGGGGCCAAGTGCTGGCTTCCTTAAGCAGTGGTTCCGTTTAACAGATTTCCATTTACTGAGGGTCTACTCTACTGTGAAATTCTTAGCAAGCACTCCCCACCCAATCTCCATTCAGCAAGTTGAAATTATTGGCAAAGTGGAAGGGTGGTACTTGCCCATAATGGCACCAAAATGCAATATGACGACGGCAAGCTTTACCTGCCGCACATCTTGCCACAAAAAAATTGAGCGCACAAGAACTTCTCCGAAGTCTTCTTACTCTGATTCGCGGTGCAGCACATTATGACAGCTCACAGACATAAAAAACGCAAAAAACCGCAATCAGACCTCGGGAAGAATGGCTTGAAAGCTCCTTCGTTGAGCCTACGCCGACACAACAGCTTTGGGCAAACAGACATAGGTCTCGGAGACCCTATTTTTGTTGAATACTCGTCATAGGTACCATTTTCAAATACAGATCTTGAAGACCGTGCTTTTTTTCACGGGATCGTAAAGATCGGCATTGGTGCCTCTCGCTAAATTTACGTTGCAATCATCATAGAAGAATACAAAAGACCGAAATTTTTATGACAACTTTCAGGGACAGGCACATTTGGGCTGCTTAGCAGCATTAGATGGGATTCAGGCAGGCTAGTGTTGCATGGATGCGGTGCGTGATAGGTGTGTGAAAGAGAATGGGGGTAGACGTTTTTGAGGAATGGCATAGAAAATTGAAATTAGCATTGACATTGCAGAGGGCACGTGCTCAGAATTATAAATATACTAGTTGTTATCCTTCGAGCCACGCTACTTGAATGCAGCCACGTAGGCAAGTGCATGGCCATGACAAAATAGGTAATTGCCCTACCCCTTCAGCATGATTGTAAAAATTAAGCTCCTACTAATTTTGTTGCGTGGGGACATGTGTGTGTGTGATGAGGATGCACTGAAGGGGAGATGCACCTCAAGAGTCTATTTTTGCTATTATTATGATGATTATTCAAATTAAATTTTTTGCAATGTGAGTTTTGCACTAATTTTTGTCATTTGTAATTTCAGCTTCGCCTCAATATTGTATTTCGTTGTTCTTGTGCTTGTGTTTGTATGTGCCACCTGGAAGGGGCTGGAAAAGTAAGGTCTCTTGTAGAACGTTTCTACATTATAGTAGGCATAGGAGAGTGATATGAGAGAGTCGGTATTGCTCACATACAAATGGTGTTACATAACTTGAAGAAAGATATTTTGTTCTCAACAGTAGTTTTCCTCAACAGAAAAATTTTTGTGCTGACTATATAGTTGTCGAGAGCATTGATTGGTTTTTTTAGAGTGCAAATCTCTTTAATAATGCAAATTGCAATAAAGCCAAAATAATTGTATTCTATACGTCCTTCATAATGTGCTTGCCAGATCTGTCGCAGTCCTATTCAGGGCAAAAAATTGTGTGCTCAATTTGTAGGAACAGTGTAACATTAAATATAGAGTGGAAGAATAAGGCTTAAAGTTCTTAAGGCATTCTTATTGTAGAATATGATCAATTCATACTAAAATTATTTACTAAATTACACCATTATTTACGGAACAAGTCCGAAGTGATAAGGAGAGAGAGAAACGAAACAGAAAGGCAGGGAAGTTAACCTTGATAGGCTTGGTTGTATTCCCTACTCGTGGGCTGGGAGAAAGGGAAATAATAGATAAGATAGAAAAGAAAGTAGGAAGAAAAATGAAAAGTTAGTGAGAACACAACACAAACACGCCCTGGTAGTTCACAGATGCTCGTGAAGTCTGCTCGCCTTCACGTAGCTCAGCAGAGCTTTCGTGGCCAGTGCATGCCTGAAACAGAGGGCCAAGGTTCCAGGATCTTCTTTTCGGGCAGTGGTCTTGTACCAAGACGATCAAGTTTGGTTCCTAGAACACGTCGATGAGTCTGGTAGGATAGGCAGTGGCATAAAACGTGTTCAGTGGTCTCCTCATAGCTGCACGAGTTTCATGCCGGACTGTCGGCCATTCCTATGAGAATAAAATGCCAGATGCGACACAACAACGTTTTATCTCTACAGGAGAGTCCAGACGGCCGGCAAAATCATAAATTAGGGTCAAGAGAACGTATGTGTGAGTAAGGGAAACCCTGGGTATTCCACTGTAGAAGTGTGACGTGATGAACAAGTGATTGCAGTTGTTGTGCCCTGTCTGTTCTGTAGAGCAGTATAGGCAGGTATTTTTCATGAGCCGATCATGCTGCTTGCCGGTCATTGCCGGCAATTTCACAATGTCTCAGCAGTCACTGAAAGGCTATATCATGTCTGTTATCGAGTGCTTCTTAGTAGTCTTGCATAATTTTATTCACTAGCTGCTCGCGCAATCTATGCCGTAGAGCATACTGTAGTGTTTGTAAGGCTGATCTGAGTCACAAAAGATGACCCATTGATTGGGTGGCTGCCGAAGTATGTACTTGACCGCACCTCGTAGCGCTGTGAGGTCTGCTGGTGTTGATGTTGTGTCGTGGAAAAACTCAAGTGTTGCATTCATAGGTTGCCAGATGGAACAGCCACTGCTCCAGTAGAGTTGTTGGAATTAGTGGACCCATTTGTGTAAATGCGTGCATTGTCAAAGAAGGTTTCATTTAGGAGACGCAATTACAACTGCTTCTGTGCAAGTGGTGACAGGAATGCCTTCTTAATGATTCCTGGAACCGATAGGCACACATGAGGTTGATGGAGACATCACACTGCAGATGCTGGGCGCATTACAGGCTTGAAGCTGGATGGTAAAATGTCACAGTGATTCGCCACAATACTGCAGAACGACCTCCACGCTGGCAAGCATGCTAAATGATGGAATGGCAGCCGTGTTTGGTGCCAAATGCACGCTGTCATTATTAGCTGGTGCTGACTCAACCATTTGCATGTTACATTAAAAAAAAACTTGTCGTGTGAGAGATACTTGGGAATCTATTCATTTGAATATGAATGAAACAATGAAACACCTTCTGCTACTATGGCTCGTTTAGAATTAATTTTGAGTCTTTTGACTGAAGATGTTTGATGTTTTTACACAATAAGATGAAATGTTAAAGCGTAATTTTGCTCTCAAATTGTCAGAATGTATATTTTTAAGGCGATTTTTCAACTTGCATTTTTTGCCACATGTAACTGTGCTGAAGCGTCATGAAAACGTTTTTTTCAGTTCAAACGCCAGTCCTGTAAGCAGAGCTGCATTGCGGGCTGGGTGGTGTTTGCTTCCCCAGACTCCGACTCCTTCCAGTTGTTGGACCCTGGTCGTGGAAGTCGTTACAAGTTCCGGCCTGCTATGGGAAGCTCAGTCCACGACTGGTGTGCCTGCCTGAGTGCTTCTGCTAGCACAACACTCTAGACTCCTTTTGAGGTGTGCAGTGAATGACGACTGATGAACTGAGCCAGTGCCATGAGGAGCCACTGTATAATAATTGAAAGTATCATAAATTATTTTTTGATACTAATTACTGACTTGATTCCCCTTGTGTGATGGATCAAACTTTTGGATCATTCGATGTCATGCATTACTAGGTTTAAAGGTGGACATCTTCGACAGATATCGGTCTGGCTGGTTGAACTTTAATACTAACATGAATTCTCTATCCAACTTATAGTTTAAACATAAAAGGTAAGGACTGTGCACTGACCCGACATTTCAGGACCAATTCTGTCTCTTCTTCAAAAGTGACGGTTCAATCGGCTCTGAAGCTCGCGATGAGAAAAATCGCAAGCTTCAGAGCCGACCGAGCAGTCACCACTGAAGAAGGGACCAAATTGGTCCCCAAACGCTGGGTCAGTGCACAGTCCTTACATTTTATGTTTGGACTATAACTTGGCTGGAGAATTATGTTGTTACTATTACTAGGTTTGTGTTTTACCACTAAAATTGTGCACTAAATCTTTAAACTCTGAAGGTATAAGGAAATAATATCACAGACTGTTCTTTTATGAAAGAGTAACTTTTTTCTACAACATGCTACTTGTAGCAATAAAACATGTTTTTACAGTAGAGGACCGATTCATTCAATTTCAGCAATCTGCATGAAAGCATAAATATAATGTCACATGCGGCATATATGTTACTGGAGCACTGCACATTTTATACTCTAGCATGCTACCCACTTGGTAAAGCAGCTTCACAAGTGTAGGTATTTTGACTCTTTTTAACACTAGCAACACTACATGCATAGGTGTAACATTGTTCTTGTTACATCAGTGTGCACCTATTTTTTCGCAAAATATAAATTTGTGAATTTCTTAGATGGAAAAAAATACTACTAAAAGATATACGTACGTCTACATAATGTTTCTAAAATACATATTTCTCATACAACAGGCATTTTACATTTTCCCACATGTTTGTACTCAATAAAGTGCCTCTTCATTACATGGAAACAAAAACTTATGGCTAGCAGATTTAATGATAGATCATCTAGATAGGTATAACAAAAAATGAAAAAAGTTGATTCACATGTTTTAAAAAAAGGGATGCTTTTCTGCGTGCCTCATTTTTTATGCGAATTTGTACCAGAAATAGATCATCAGGCGTAGTATGGCTTTTACTGTTATTGTTACACCATCCACAAATTTTTGAAAGGACCCTGCAACACTTTGAGTTGGAATAGAATAACCTCATTACTAGAGACCTTTTGCTTGTATGTATACCTTTCAACATTACCATGTTGCCAGAATGCATGTTTTAGAAAAGATTTAGCTCTCTGTATGGAAACGTTTACAAACGTTCATAAATGTTTCTCTGTCAGGAGTTAGAATTGTACTTTATGTTTGTGCCAAAAGGCATACTTTTATGTTTGTGCAAACCACTAAATGTTGATTATAACTGCATTTAGGCTACATTTGATTTGAATAGACTCAATCACTGCTGCAGACTAATCACGTGAGGTTTTTGGTGTTTATCTTGGCATATGCAGGGGAGTGCAAAAATACCAGGTTATCGAATGATATTGTCTACATTTTGTGACACTTTGTTCAGCCACAGTCATTGACACGTTTATTTTGGCCGAGTGTTTATGAGAGGAAAAAAAAAAACGTGACTCATTTCTCTGTCATAAGACTCGGTGTAACACGAAAGTGAAACGTGTCTTCACAGAGGTGTTTCAGCATTTACTGTGCATTGTTTTGCCACAAGTTTGAAGGAATAAATGGTAAAGCTACGAATTGTAAGGTCGCACGAAGAACGACAAGCTGTTTAAAACTTGCAGCTTGTTCCTGTAGCAGAAAGGGCGAATGAAAAGAACATACACAGGTTGAGCACAGACTAACTGCCACAGCTCGATACTTAGAGTGCTCTGCTCGAACGCAACGAACTCGCAAATATACACAGTATGAGTGCGAAAAACTTTCATAATTGTTACTTGTGCGTGAGCAGCATGCTCCTTTTGCAAGTGCGACCGCTGCAGCGAGCGAAGTGACCTTTGGGCTCTCTGTAATTTCAATGCACTCTTGCGGTGAAAGCCCAAGACGCACAAACACTGCCGCAATCACGCGATAAGCGCAGGTGCAAAAGCGACCACGCCCTGTTCAGGCTCACGCGCATCGCAATGTGTGGGACGAAGACTTTTAAAGACCGCCTTGCGAACCATTCGCACCATCTCGCCAGTGATAACAAGAACAGGCTGAAATCAATTATCACTAAGTACTGGCGGTGGAAAGCGGTGTAAATAAATAGTTCGTCCTTAGCTAGCTGAAGAATGTGTCGTCGTCCGAGTCTGTTCGCGTCCTGCGCTGCGGAGTGGGCACAACTTTTTTCTTATAGTTTTTTCTGCACCACCTTTGTATGTATATTCTGCAACATCATATCAATGACAACAATATGTCAGTAGAGCCGTGGCGGACCCCGGCAAGAAACATTTTCATGTTAAAAATGGTTAAAAAGGGAACTCATTCGTTTATATGTCGCTACTTGTGGATGTTGGTGTCCTGCCTCCTATTCCATTCTACAATGAAAGCTGTATATGGCTTGGAGAAACGAAAAAAAAAACTGTTCGGTAGCGATGTCAAAAGCAGTTTCCATTAGCTGTACCATCAGCAGGGTGTCTACCAACCTGGAAAACCTGGAAAAGTCAGAGAATTCGGACCCTTCTGGAAAAGTCATGGAAAGGTAAGGAAATTTTCGAAAAACCTGGCCAGGTCATGGAAACTGACAGCAGTTATGTGTGACCGTCACAAAAATAAGCATTACCTTTGATCAAAGCTTAAAAAGTCTGTCTCTCAGCTGCAGCTACAATCAGCTGCTAGAAGGTGTGTGAAAAAAACAAGACAGTGTATACAAGTCTTGCTCCTTAGTGTAAACGTAAAAGGATACACCGGTCCATAGAACACAAAGTTCACTGACGTTTTAGTACCTGATATGGGAGGGAGCCTTGTTCACAATAAAAGCCACAATGATTGATGATTGATTGATTGATTTGTGGGGTTTAACGTCCCAAAACCACCATATGATTATGAGAGACGCCGTAGTGGAGGGCTCCGGAAATTTTGACCTTTAACGTGCACCCAAATCTGAGCACACGGGCCTCGACATTTCCGCCTCCATCGGAAATGCAGCCGCCGCAGCCGGGATTTGAACCCGCGACCTGCGGGTCAGCAGCCGAGTACCTTAGCCACTAGACCACCGCGGCGGGGCAATAAAAGCCACAAGAAAGGCACAGCGTACTTAAGTATGTCTAAATAAGTGACGTAAACAGCGAGAGTACTACATTGTCGGAAGCCTTCCATCACTCCTGTTCACTGTATGTACAGTTGTCTGTATCTGGATTGCAGGTGCAGGCAGGATGCAAGCTTCTTTTAAATCCGAAGCATTTTATAGTCTAACGCTAGTAAATCCGGCATCACAGTGGTGTCTACACCCCTATTGCGCATGCTCGCGTCTCGTGCCAACTGTCGCTCCACCCACTCTCTCGCCTCGCAAGGCCAATGCAGGCAGCATCTACTAGTAAAAACCAACTGCTCGCACTGCGCAACCATTCACTGACCACCCCGTATATCTAGGCACTGAATCGGGCATTCGGAAATCAGTCAAAAACATCCTTACTTGACTTTCACTTGACTTGACACTTTGACTCGAGTAGATGCGATGGAAGCAACAGTACCTTCAGCCAGTATTGGGGCACAATCCAACAGTGTCCCACCACTTTTTGAAAGCAATGCTTCTCCTTCATTCAACAAATACGAATAATAAAGACAAAATAACAATTAGGCATTCCCAAACCTTACCCAATCACGCAATATTCACACGATACCCCCACTACTCCATGATGCATTTACTCAAGTCTCCTCCCCTTCCCCTCGGTGGGAAGATGCAGGTTTTTTCTTTGTCCAGAACATAAAAGTTTTATAAGTCTCCATGGTGCTCTGTACATTCCGCATGCTCAGTGAGGGCAGTCAACGCCACCCGTAGTTTCGTGGCATCATATTTGTGTTGTTTAACATTTCTTGAAATCACCAGTTTCACCGCTGTACTGGTTGTCAAATTGGGGCATCCTATGGCTAAGCAAGACCAAGAAAATTTCTGCTTGGCAACTTGTCCTTCACATTGGCTAAAGCATTCCTTAGCTTTTACGTTGATACATCCACCAATTGCTTCTACATATTACACGGCATGCTTCTACATATTACACGGCATACCTGACTTTTGAACTACAACTTTACCTACATGCATGTTTGTCTACACCATGATTTCGGCTCTGGTTGAAGGCCGTGTTGCTTGTCTAAACAAGAACAGCCATCAGCAGAAGCTTGCCAGGCTACTCATGTCTTTTATTATTATTATTATTATTATTATTATTATTATTATTATTATTATTGGTGATGCAACAGCAAATGTCCTCAGCTACACACTTATTGCTGGTAGCCCGTGTTTCAAGGGTAGCACTTGGCTAACTTCAGCTAATTTTTTTGTTTCAGTATCGCAAGATTTTGTAAATAAAGCTGCAATTATTTTTCAGCGTCGCATCCCCAGCAGAGTACGTAAATTAAAGTAACGTGCCAACATTCGCGATTCATCTGTGGAATCAAGGAAGCTGTTGCATTTTTACATATTCTTTCTTGCCTGCTCATATTCAAACGTTGGCACTTTAAACGCTGTCCCCAGATTTCATTGCAGCCGTCCTAAGACTTTCGTTGCACTTCAAATATTAGAACCCAGAAACATATAAAATACAAACATGCATGTGCTTGTCTGAAAGAAGAAAAATAAAGAAGGAAAACTTTGCAGTACAGCTTTATTCTTGCAACTTTGTCGTTACTCGTTGTCAAGGCAAGGTACACAAAATACGCTAGTAGTTTTTTTTTTTTTTTTTGCTGAAAAGTATATTTTAGAGGTGTGCAATATAAGTGGCGATGCAAATCAATAGTAAATACAGCAATCCAGGTCGAATCAGATCAAATTCAATCCACATCATAAATAGTTGAGTCAGTAAATACAGTAGTTCAGGTTGATTTAATT